GCGTAACATTTCCATCACACGCTTGAGGTATTCGGCCAATCACAACGCACTGGATAGCTGGCAAATCAGCATACACCTGGCTTTTCAGAACGATGAGCTTTGTAAAAATCGATGCGTTTCAGAAAGGCGGGGCATAGAGGAGCAACAATAATGTACATTATGTGGAAAATAATGTGTTTTTTGACCCTTATGAAACACATTTCATTACACCAAATACACAAAATAATGTTATTTTTAGCAATGTCATATGACCCCTTTAAGGATACTTATCTCCTCTTCAACACTAGGTAACAAAAATATTTAATTTATGGTCCATATTGTTAGATTTTTTTAATTATTATTATTACTTGGGTTTATGCATAAACATACCCAGTCACAGCTGCATGACTTTATCATGCTCACATACTTTTGGCCTTCATAAACAATTGTTTTTACAAAAACAAATGGAAGGAGATACATTGTAACTCTAAAGTCAATTGTGCATTTCAGATGCTGTCACATACCACAACCTCATAATCTGCAGAGAGAAACTGCCACTCAATCATACCAAAATACACATAATGATGGTCTTGCAGGCATCATAGAGGATTATGAAAATACAATATTTCACTTGAACTTGGTCTTCATTTCACTATTTTCTGTTTCTATTTTGTTTTACTTCAAGTATTTATTTATGTTCAATGACAATTTGTCACAATCTCCTGTCACAAGTCCAATCACTTTCCTCAGTCACCAGCCCAGTCTACTTGGAACTACATTTCCCAGCATCCCTTCTGTTTCACATCTGCACACAGTCAGCCATCATCACCACACCTGCCACAGATGATTTAATCAAGTCTGGCATAAAAGCAGTTATTCTGTCTCTCTGTTAGACACACTTATTTCTGTGTAAATGTATGTAACTATAATATTGTTAAACATCAAACTGTATAAAAATTAGTGGTGGGCAGAGCGAGGCTTCGTGAAACACTGAACAGTTGAAACAAATGTGCCAAGGCTTCGAAACAATTCGACACCCGTCTCTACGGTGACACCTAGTGGTCATTTTAAGTATTGCTCTGAAATAGCATTGACAACGAATCAGTTAAGCGAATTGACAAATTATAACTTATATGTTGTGCTTGTCAAACCACCATGTGGGTTGGGGGAGTGGTTAGTGTGCACGACTGGCATGTTGTTAGAGCCTGTCTCTCTAGCGCGCACCGGAAACAAACCTCAGTTTATATAACCTCTGCCAGGTGGTTGCGCTGGCTTTGCACGCTAATAAAATTTACATTTTGTGGGGTTTTAGCAAAATGTATATATTAAATTTTTTTATAATTTAAAAATGTAATTTATTTCACCACACTTGTGCTTACGCAGGCATTAAATTGAGAATGCAGATTCATGTTTTTCGTCCGCAGAACAATTTACAGTAGCACTACTGCTTTTGAGCAAACAGTAAAGTATCGCAAACTCCCATATACAGTAAATTACTGTAAATGGCATAAAAATACCCATAATGCAGTGCATATTACAGTAGTTAACTGTAAAAAATATTTATGGTATTTTACTGGGCTTTTTTGCGGTAAGTAACTGTAAAATTACAGCAAAGTCTAAAAGTGTAGATGACATAGTAAAATGGCATGACATGAAATAATGTTATGTAATAATGTATTTTTTAATAAGAATATACATTATTCAGTTAATTAGCAATCTTACCATGTTGACAGAGAAACAGCAGCAATTGTAAGCCCTACTGAGACATGAGGCAACGCGAGAGGTGAAAGTTAGCAGAGATCACTGTTGCGTTTTGAATTTTGTTTTTACATGAGAGAGCACTAAGTTTACTTGTCGGAGAGCAGCGGGCAAACAACAAACGATAAAGGACATTCCTACTTGGTCTTGTAAGTATCTGTGTTTTCATTTTGACATGTGTTCATTATTGATCTATATTATTTGTTATCATGTTTAGGAACCGTGACATTTTAGTGAAGGGAGCAGATCATAGTTGATAGTGATCCGTGACTAGGCCCACGGTTCAGCATGCATGTGTTCAGAGGATTAATTGCAAAATTTAATAGATAATAGAGTAAAAGTTTTATCATTTGTACATGTTTACAAACTCAAGCGATTTTTAAACAGCGCAAAAAGAGGCGAAAGAGCAAACAACAGAACAAACACAGCTTTGACAAAGATTATCCATATTAATTTATACAGTGAACACACAAGAATTGGAGAAACTGAGGAGGAGTTTCAACATCTGGAAAAGCGCCGGGCAGCAATGGTACAAAGTCCTTCATTTATTTTAATTTTTATATTGAATTTATGACTGAACAATGGCTTGTTACATACAGAGAGAGCATGAGCTAATTTAAAAGAATATCTTTGTCATTGTACAAGTACAATAAGAAAGAGGCATTTGAAAAGACTGCACTGTTCTCGGTCATTAGGTACGTATATAACGCACAACATTTACCAGAGAGCTTCTCTCTTTTTTTAATACACTGAATGGTGATACACAATATATATCTCGTTTTTGTTTTTAGTAGGCATCCAAGCAAAAGAGAAAGACTCCCTGTCACAATTAGTGTAATTAAAGTAAAAAAATTATGTCAAAAAAGCTTTTCTTATGCTATTTTTTTTTCTTATTTGGCAGATGCTGTGATAACCAACTTTCTGGCAGCAACAGAGTTGGACTTGAGGAATGCAGTTGGAAAGCATTTTAAACAAGAAATAAAACCAATAATTAATAATTTCCTTTAAGTTCACTGTT